AAAAAAAAAAAAAAAACTAGGAAATTTCAATTAATTTGAAGATCAAGACAAAGGAGAACATGAAGTCTGGCAGATATAAAGGTGGGGTCCAGACAATACATCAGAAAAAAGGGTCAGCATGGGATGTCAGGGTGGGGTGCACAGCAAATACTGTGTACAAATAAAAGCCAGGCAGTGGGCCAGCAATAGAAGACTTTGTTTGTTTTTACTTATGTAAAAAGCCACTAGCCAGGCGTGGTGGTATCCTGGCTGTAATCCTAGTACTCAGGAGGATCACTCTAAATTCAAGGGTGCAACTACATATATCCTCTCAAAAAACAAAACAAAACAAAAAAATTAAAATTAAAAAATCACCAACCCATAAAAAAAGTAGCATTGTTGGGGGCCTGCCCCTTAGCTCAGTTCTTTAAGTGGCTGCTTTGACAAAGCAGTCAGGCTCAGGTTGCTGTGGTTCGATTCCCACAACTCCAGCCAGCCAAACCTGCCCTGAAGGCATTCTGAGGAAAAAAAAAAAAAAAATCCTTAAAAAAGTAGCATTGTAAAGAGAGATTCAAATAACTGGATTCAAAAACAGAACTTGGAACTTGGGGGGCTGAGGTAGGACTGTGAGTTTTGATACCAACCTGGGTTACAAAGTGAGCTAAAAGGCCAGCCTGAACAGCATAGAGACCCTGTCTCAAAAAGATTGGGGAGGTGCTGGGGAGAAGGCTCAGTAGAATAAGCGCTGGCCTGGGAAGGGCAAGGGCCTGAGTTCAATCCCCTGTTCCACCAAAAAATAAAGAAAGTATACATATATGTATATGTATATGTATACCCTGGTCTATGGGGGGTGAAGCAGGAATCTGAGGCCAGCCCATATGACATAAGGAGACCCTGTCTAAACCTCTCCACACCAAATCCTCAATCCCCAGATACTACACTCGATTCCACCTTTAGAAATTAGCAGGGGCCGGGGAGATGGCTTAGTGGAGAGCTTTCCTGGCAAGTGCAAGGGCCTGAGTTTGATCGCTGGTTCAGCCAAAAAAGAAATTAGCTGGAATTGGGCCGAGGTGAAAGCTAAGTGCATAAGCCCCTACCTGGCCAGTGCAAGATCATGAGTTCAGTCCCTGGTACTAAAAAGGGAAGGAAGAAAAAAAAAAAAAAAAAAATGAAATTGCTTCTTTCCGCATCCCTTTAGTGAAAACAATTATCCTTCACCCCTTACGTGTAGATACACTGAAAGCTCCAGACTGCTTGCTAATAAATATGTCACAGGAAAAGGCTTCGAATGTTTACAAATTCCTCCATCAATACAACAAGGAGTTCCGTACTAGCAGGACTATTTCTACATATTTGTATTCAAATTGCCAGCCTGATGAAAACTGGCCTATTAAACTTGAATCTTGGGCTGGTGAAATGGCTCAGTGGTCTAAAGCACCTACTTAGAACAAGCTAAGCTAAGCAAAGCACAGGGACCACGGTTCAATCCCCCAGCACCACATGCCAGCCAGCCCCGCACCCTGGTGGGCTGAGCTGGCCACACACACAAAAATAAATAAATAAATAAATAAATAAATAAATATTAAAAAAAATAAATAAAATAAAATAAACTTGAATCTTTTCCAACCCATAATAACAAAAGCTTAGTCACTACTGATCCCTGCCTTAATACACATACATACACACACGCACGCTAGAGCGTGCAGCTCGGCAGTTCTTCTACACTCATGGCCTGTGTGCACCTGCCAAGCCTGCTCCACTTACAGTATTTTTCTAACGTTCTTCTCTCGCTTACCCAAAACCAAAAGTCTTCCCTGGGGCGCCCGGGGTCCCGGTTAAGGAGGACGTGTGAATTTCAAAACGCATGCGGCGCCAGAGAGAAGAGCGGTATTAGGCTGCTCGGAACATCAAGGGCCAGAGAGGGGACCCCGGCCCCGCATCGCCGGGATCTGAGACAAAGCTCAGAGCCGCCGCCCGCCCGCGACCAACGTACAAAGCGCGGCGGCGCGGGGCGGAGGGCGTTAGGAGCCACCAGCCTGCGGCGACAGCGGCCGTTAACCCGGCCACGGCCTAGCGCCCGCGAC